GGGGAGGAGGGGGAGGGAATGGCGGGGAGGGAACCTGCGAGAGCCCACGCAGGCACACATGAGGCCAGCCGGCCCAGCTAGGCTGGGAGCCTAGGACAGGCCTCTGCTCACCTTGGCCTGATACTCCCTGATGAAGGGGTGAGACCTGTGGGCATCCTTCAGCTGTGACAGGTAGCGATTGGTCACCTGAGGGGGAAGTGGGGCCAGATTAGCCAAAAATGGGGATCCCAAGGCAGCTTGGACCTAAGGGTAGAGAGGGTGGGGTGGGGTCCCCCCCACCCCAGAAAGGAGTGGGCTGCTCCTGCCCCGTGTTCCTCCGTCCCCCTGGGGGCTCCTCACCCCATCCTGGATTGGGCTGATGACGGAGGAGCCTCAGGCAGGGAGTAGAGAACACCCTGGAACAGTGCCTGGCACGGAGCCACTCTGCACGGGGTTGGTTGCACCACAGGGTTCAGGGCAGCGGGCCAGAAAAGGCCCTAGGAGGACAGTGGCCAGGCCATGGCCAGGAGGGATGGGACAGAGACATGAGGGAGATGGCCATCTGAGGGGGGGGTGAACTTGCTCTGGGCATACTTTGTACCAAGGCTCACCCGAGGCCTGGGGACTAGAACCTGGACCTCAAGCAGAGCCTGCTCTCAGCCTCAGCCCAGCCTCCACCCAACTGCCCGGGGCTGGGGAGTGTCCTTGTCTCCCTGAGACTGGGTTCCAGAGCATCTCGGGACTCTCTCTCCCCACACCACCTATGCCCTGCTCCTGCCTGAGGAGCCTTTCTCAGGCACCAGTGAATGATCATCGCATGGCCTCACTTTTCGCCTCAAGTGAGGTGGGCTCAATAGTCACCCTCCTGGGTCTTCTCTGTCCTGTGCCCACTCACCCTGAAGGGGCACCAGCTGGGGTCCCAGTCCAGTCAGCCCCACTCCGGCAGCCCTGAGTCCACCCATCTAGTGGACCCTAAGGACCCACTGGCCCACCATCTTGCCCAGAGGACACACACACCACTGATCCTGGGGCCTTTTGGTGGACAGCGGGTTTCTGCCCTAACCTCAGGCTGACTTGAGCCCCTAACCACACCCTGGATCAGCTCTGCAGGGATTGGGACCCCTGCACCTGGCTGTGGGCTGGGCTGGTGAGGAGGTGAAGGGGGGCCTACCTCAGGGGGCTTGCCCAGGTGTTGTGACAGGACAATGAGGTTGACCAGTGTCTCTGGATGGCCACTGTCCTGGAAAAACAGATGTGGGGTAGGAAAGGTCAGCAACTCCAGGACACCCTGAGCTTGTCTACTTGCCCCCTATCTCAGGTGGGATAATGCCCTCCACTGCTCAGGAGTGGGCACTGACCCACACAAGTTTATTCCTAAAAGGTGGGGCCAGTTGCTAGTCCAAAGTCCCCCTCCCATCATTCTATAAGGTGGGACCTCAGGGATGACACAGTGCCAGGGGCTGGTGGCCTATGCCTTCCTGACACCCCATGCCAGCTAGGTCTTCTCCAGACTTCAGTTTTCTCATGTGGAGGCCAGCCTGGGACATAGTGGCCCTGATTGTCCAGAGGGGCACATTAACCACACCAATCTCAAAGTCACCAAGGCCAGGCCCCACAGCCTGTTTCCACTCTGCAAATGATGAAAACAGCCCCTCACAGAACAGAATGGGGAGCAAGGCTCCTATCAGTGTTTGTCTCCATTAGCTGAAGATGCTCCCCAGTAACAAACCCACCCGACGCCCTTGCTGACTATAACAACAGAAGGCCTCCAGGAGACTCTGCAGCCACGGGGCAGGCAGCACTCCCTCCTTTCAGACAAGGGCAGACCCAGGGACACCTCCCACCTGCCCACTCTTCTCCGGATCACTGCTGGTGGGCAGCTCCTCAATTCCAGGTCAGAATCAGATGAGGAGTCGCACCTGAAAGCTCCAAATCAGGGAGCTGAGGTGACACCGAGGACAGCATGTGTCTGCTCAGCTCAGGCCAACTACGGCCCAAGCTGCCTGGATCCTCCTATTTTCAAGAGAAGCCTGAACTGGGATTTTCATTTGCAATCCCCTGATTTAGGTCTTAGGCAGCTGATGGGCATCAGAATACTCGTGGGGCCACAAGTGAAGGTCACTGCCATGCCCAATTCAGTTCCTCCTGGAAGAGTGCCTACCTTGTCCAGTGCCTCCTGCAGTACGCCCTCGGCAGCCTCCCACCGGCCCTGGGCCATGTGGCAGGCCGCCTGTCCATTGAGCAGAAGCAGGGTGGACGAGCACTTGTCTGCTAGTTCCTGGAAGATGTAGTAGGCATCCTGTAGCTTCTCGCCACCCTGAGGGTACAATGACATCACTGCCTGTCACCCTGCTGCCCAACCTGGCCCCTGTCTACTCCCCACATAGCCCAGACTGTGGCATTTTGCAGAGACAAATGTGGCAAGGTTGGCTCATGGCCCTGCCATCCCCTCCTGGCAGAGACCCTGTGTGGCCAGGAGCCTGCTGACAAGATCTGGGGCACTGGTCACACCATGCCTCACGTGACACCTGGCTCCCTGAGCACTCAGTTTACAGAGGGGGGAATGAGGCTTCCAGGGGATTCAGTGCATGGGGAGGCAGCACCTGGGACTGTGCTGGGACCACTAGGTCAGGGCTCATCAGAGGTAATATCTGCTTTATGGCCAGCAGCCTTGACCTGTCCCCTTGCTAACAATACAGTGTGACACGTGCAAGGAGGGCCTGAGACCAACGTGAGCTGTGAAAAGAATGCACATCTAAGCTGAGCATGGCAATGGTGCTTGCAGTGCCAGCTACCCGGAGGCTGAGGCAGAAGCATCTCTGGAGCCCAGGAGTTCAAGGTCAGCCTGGGCAATACAGTGAAAGCCCATGTCAAAAGATAATAAAAAATTCAAAATAAACAAAACTATCAGAAAGCTGTGTTGGAGTTTGTACCACTCAACTGGATGGACATTAGAAGTCCCTGGGCATGGAGCTTTGGTCCCCAGAGAAGCAGAGGCAGCGGGTACACTCGGAAGGCCCAGACAAAAGAGTGACTCAGAAAGGAAGCCAAGTTCCAGAAAAGGTGCTGTTGCCAGGAGGGTGGGGCAGCGGGTAGCTCCGGGCTGAGGACACCTCCATAGCTTTGGTGGGAACACTGCCTCACTAAGACCCTGTCCAGCCCGGTTCCAGGAGTCTGACAAACAAAGCTGAGTGAGCCCCACAAACCCTAAGGGGACCTGGGAAGAGGACAGTTGTGAAGCTGCCTGTGGTTCTGGACCCCCAGACCCTCTATTCATTCTGGCTCTGTCCCCATGGCTTGGATTCAGGAGACCTGAGATGGGGTCAAGATAGGACATGAGCCAGGAGCGGATGAGTCCATAGGAGTGAGGTCCCCGTGGCAGCAGGCGGAAGCAGGGCGTCAATCTCCACCCCCCCCCCCCCGAGACTCTGCAAGGTCAAGAGGCTCACCACAGCCAGGTTGACCCAGGCAGTAGCCAGCTGGGTGAGGGTGGCATCCTCATCCAGGTCCTGCATTCTCTTCAGCTCCTTCCTAGGGGCAGGGGGAGGACAGAGGGCACTGAGTGCCAAGAGGCCCACCTGGTGCTCCCCCTTATTCCTGTTCACGGGTCCCCAGAGCCTGAGCACCAGCCCACTCAACAGCCCACTGTCCCTCAACAGTTCCTGCCTCACGACATGCCCAGAAGGGCAGGCTAGGCCCTGCCTGCTGCCCCTTAAGAGTGCCCGCAGGAGGAAGGGCTCAGGAGATGCACTCCCTCTCCCTGGGGGACAGAGCTCAGGAAGCGGTGACAGAGGCAGAGTGACAACAAGTTTTCTTTCCTTTTCTCTTTTAGTGCTGGGGATGAAATCCAGACCATGCACATGCCAGGCAAGTGCTCTCCCACTGAGCCACGCCTGAAACCTGAAAACTTTTTTAAAAAATTTTTTTGTAGTTGTAGATGGACAGAATGCCTTTATTTTTATGTGGTGCTGAGGATCGAACCCAGTGCCTCATGCATGCAAGGCAAACGCTCTGCCATCGAGCTATAGCCCCTGAGGACAATTCTTAAGCAAGAGCCTTGCAAAATGTAGCAAGGGGGGGGGGGCCCTAAACGCTCCCCACAGCCTCTGACTCTGCTGCTTCCAGGATCTGAGTGAGGAGAGGACCCAGAGGGGCTATGCAAGCGGGCACCGTGGCTCAGCCTCCTCTACTCTCTCCACAAAGCCCACCCCTACCCTGAAGGTCAGGCCCCACCACCAACCGCCCAGAGGGAAACAGACATGGGCAGTAAGTAATGCTCGTGTTTCTGGCAATGACTGCAGGGAAGTGTTGGATAAAGGATGGCAGGTTGCTTCAGTGCAACGGAAAAAACAACTAGAAACAATTGAGTAACAGAGGCTCTGGTACATGGCTGAGCTGTGGCCATGAGACCAGTCAAACAGGTAGGGGACTCACCGGGCAAGGTCCAGGCGGTCCAGCTTCAGCAGAATCTGTACTGTCATGGCCATGCTGTGGACAGGGCAGGTGAGGTCAGCAGACAGCCCCAGAAGCACTGCAGACCCCCACCAGGGGCTCACTCCATGTGGCACCACCTTCTAGAACATTCCTATTTCCTCTAAAAGATCTTGGTCCACCAGCCCCATCTTGCAAAGGGGGACACCCTGGCTCTTCCACTTCACTGCCAAGCTTGCTCAGGCCAGGATGTCCCACAAGGTCTGCAGGGAGAAGCTCCAGGCGCATGGCCCTCTTGCTGTCCCCCTGTAGATGGAGCTGCACTGTTCAGGCCCATGGGTGGAACACCTGCTCCAGGCTTCCTGACACCACCCAGCACTGTGGCCCAGGATGAGGCCCCGCAGCGGAGGGACACATGCCCACTCCTGTTTCTAAGGAGGCATCTGAACCCCACACCCCACACACCCCTTAAGCCCTCTGTTCCCCTCTGCCCAGTTTCCCTCTCAGCCCCACCCCCGCCAGCTTAGACCACCAGTTACTCATGTGGCTGCCTGTCCCTGTGTTTTCCCACCTGACAGGAGCCAGCACCAGACCAGCAGATGACAGGTCACTCATCAGTCCCCCGTTCCATTCCTGTTTCTTCCCTTCTTTCCTTTCTATTTCCTTCTTTCATTTCCCCCAGTACTGAGGGTTGAACCCCAGGTTGCTCTACCTCTGAGAGCTCTATCTCAACCCTTTTTATTCTTTACTTCAAGACAAATCTTACTGAAGAGGCCAGGCTGGCCTTGAACTTGCTGTCTTCCTGCCTTAGCCTCCCAAGTTGCCACTATCCCTAGCCCTATTTCTTTCTTTTTTCCTTTCCTTTTTGGTGCCGGGATGGAACCCAGGGCTCTGCGCATGCTTGGCAAGTGCCCTACCACTGAGCTGTACCCATACCCCCAGCCCCTTGCTGGACAGTGATGTGACGTGAGTAGACACAGCCAGCCACGACTGATCAACGGAGGGAAGCAAGGTGCTGTGAAGAGATAAGACAGCTCTTCTCATTGGGAGGGATGACCATGACCTGGATACAATGCAGGCCCAGAAAGGCCCCCTGGGGCAGAGAGTGGCCCCAGCCCACAGCGTGCTGAAGGAAGGCTGGCTGGCCAGTCTGTGGGGCCAGAATGGCATAAGAGACCTGGATCAGGGCCCAGGACAGAGTCGAAGGCTGCATGGGGGTGGAGGGACAGAAGCCGAGAGGAGAGACAAAGGTGCTTTCTGCTCTGCCCTTGGGAACAGAGGGTTTTCAGCCTCCAGCGCTGTGTCCTTGGAGTGCCAGGCCAGCCATGCAGATGAAAATGTCTCCTGGCCCGAGAATGGGAGCTGCAGGCTGACGGGAGGCCAGGGACTGCTGTGCTGAGCCGCCCCAGTCACTTTTCCCACAACAGTAGCCAGTGGGGCCCTATGCCGCCTGGAGTTGTAGAGGGTCACTCAGTGCCCCTGTGCCATCCTGCTATGGCTTGAATGTCCCCTCTCAAGCTCATGCCAAAACTTATTTGCCACTGTGACAGTCTTGAGAGGTGGAACCCTTAAGAAGCGATTAGGTGTCAATAGCTCGGCCCTGAAGAATGGCTGATCACAGTAGTGGGTGAACTATCGCTGCTGTGTCTTAACAATTGGATGTTACCCACCATCCTCTCTCACCTTCCCCTTCCACCACATTATGTCACAGCACAAAGGCCTTTGCCAGATGCTCAAGTCATACTCTTAGACTTCCTAGCCTCTGGAACCGTCAGCCAAATATGACTCCACTCTCCATAAATTCCCAGGTCTGTGGTGTTCTGTTACAGCAGCAGAAAACAGACTTGGTCCCCTTGGCTGAGCATGATGGCGCACAGCTAGAGTCCCAGCTACTTGGGAGGCTGAGGTGGTACTTTTGAACCTAGGAGTTCAAGGCCAGCCCAGGCAACACAGGAAGACATTGCCTCAAAAAAAGAAAGAGAGAGAGAGACAGAGAAACAAACCCACAAAGGAAGAAAGAAAAAGACAAAAGTCCCCTGGGGCACAGCAGCAGCTCACCATTCCAGGCTGTCCCCCTGGTGCAGGGTGCGCAGGGCTGCATCTGGGTTCTGGTCATGGAAGTACACTGAGGCAGCCATCAGCAGGAAGGTGGTATTGGTCACGTCCACACTCCTGCTCATCTCCCGGTCCAGCTCAGCCACAATAGAGTCCCTGCAAGACAAGGCTGCTCAGGGCCCAAGGCTAGGCAAGCAGTACCTTCACACCTGGCATGACCCTGAGTGCTGCCATTTAACAGGTACAGACAGGCCCAGGAAAGGTGAGCCAGGCCCCTAGAGGTGCACAGCAGCAGGTGGCAGAATGGCCCCAGCTGTCTCTAGAGCACCAAGCAGCCCCGACATGCCCCAGTGGGCACAGGCACTTGACACCTGTGCGCCAACCTTGTTATCTTCCCATAAAGCACTTCTCGACCTTCAGACAGATGGGAAACTGAGGCTGTAAGCAGTGGGACTAGTGCGGGGAGGCTGTGGAATGGGAGAGGGACAGTCCAGCTCTGCCCAGAAAGTAGCAGAAGGAACCGTCAGGCTCCCAAGTTCCCCTGGTCCTCAGTGCTAGGAGTTGTGATGTCCCCGCCACCCTGGGCTCAGGAACTGCCTGAGACCTGCTAGGCTGTGCTGAACAGGCGGGTCTGGTCTCTGGCTGGGCAGGTGGGTGCCCTCTTCCTGTGCTTTGGAAGACAGCCAGATCAGAAGACAAGACAGAAGCTCCCAATTCCCTACTGCCCCTGTGGTCTCAGGGCAGGTGCTCTTGGCAATGCCAAGGGCTAGACAATAACTGTTTTTTTTTTTGGTACCAAGGATTGAACTGAGGGGCACTAGACCACTGAGACAAATCTCCAGCCTATTTTGCACTTTTTAATTTAGAGGCAGGGGCTGGGGTAGTGGCTCAGTGGTAGAGTGCTCGCCTAGCACCCATGAGGCACTGGGTTCAATTCTCGGCACCACATAAAAACAAACTAATGTATCCACCTAAAGCTAAAGATACATAAATAAATAAATATTTTTTAAAAAAATTTAGAGGCAGGGTCTCACTGAGTTGCTTAGTGCCTCCCTTTTGCTGAGACTGGCTTGGAACTCACAATCCTCCAGCCTCAGCCTCCTGCGTTGGTGGGTTTACAGGTGTGCACCACCATGCCTGGCCATTAACTGTCATTTTTAGCTGTGGGTTCAGAGAGTGCCTCACAGCCCTGAGACACACATATGATTTCTGCAATCTCCAACTCCCAGCCCCGCCTTTTATGATGCTGGGGATGGAACCCAGGGCGTCGTGCATACTAAGCACGTGCTTTACACTGAGTGACATCCCTAGCCCCCGCCAAAGGTCCTTTGCAGCAGTGTCCCTTGCTACCCCCTTATCAAGCAAGTGAGAGAAACTGAGGCATCAGGAGGTGAGGGGGCGAGAAGGAGGGATACCCTGTTAGAGGGACACCAGAGGGATCTCTTGGAGAGATCCCAAGGCCCAGGGCCCCCAGCGTGTTTGGGCCTCACCTGCTGCTCTCACTGGCAAGGTATTCAGCAAACATGCGCACGGCCTGGAGCTCAGGGGCTGAGGAGGGCTTGATCTCATCCAGGACCACGCCATACTTCCTCTGTAGTTAAAACAATCGGTCAGTTGTGTCAGCTCTACCTGCCCACCATTAAGGATTCCTATGTCCTCAGCCCAGCTCCAAGCGTTGTCCTGGTGGTGCCTCCAGACAGGAAGCCTTTACCCTGCCCGCCCTTTGCCACTCTCCCCAGAGTGCACTACAGAAGCCAGTAAGGTGTCACCTGTCACAGGCAGTGGGCAGTTAGATATGCCCTCATCTGTTACCCATGCTGCCCACTGTTCTAGCTGGAGACTCTGAAAGGCCACTTTCCCTTCCCAGCTGTCCACCCCTATTGATGAGAAGACATATGGAAGTGGGCATGTCACCTGGGGCAAGGCAGCACCAGGGAGGGACTAGGCCTGGGCATGTGCTTCTATAAAGCAATGCATCCCACCCAGCCCACCTCAGGCAGGTCTTCCTGCTGACACCGACGGATGCTGGTGGTCACTCATGGAGTCAGAAGACCTGCCCCTCACTGCGTTCCCTTCCAGATGATTTCCATTTTATACACCCATGTGCTACTTTTTTCCCCCCTAGTACTGGCGATTGAACCCAGCGTACTCTAAGATGAGTTACACCTCCAGCCCTTTCTATTTTTCATTTTGAGACATGATCTTGCTAAATTGCCCAGGCTGGCCTTGAACTCGTAATCCTCTTGCCTTGGTCTCCTGAGTAGCTAGGATTACAGGGTATGTCCCTGTATCCAGCTGCTATTTATTTATTTTTTCTCTTTAAGACAGGGTCTCACTATGTGGCCCAGTCTAGCCCTAAACTCCTGGGGTAAAGTGACCCTCCTGCTTCAGGCTCCTGAGTTGTTGCTGCCACCATGCCCAGCTAGGATTATTTTCTGAACATAAGAATACATGGCTATTGTATTATCAGGGTACCCTGCATTTAAAAAGCCTAGTGCCTGGTGTCAACTGTGGACTCTGGGTAATAACTCCAATTAATAATGTGCCAAATTAGTGTACCAACAAACACACCCACAGGGCTAGGAGTGTGGCTCAGTGGTTGAGCACTTGCCTAGCATGCATGAGATCTTGGGCTCAATTCCCAGCACTGTAAGAAATAAAATTAAAAAAAAAAAAAAAAAAATGTGACCAGCCCATGCCTATAATACCCATATTCAGGAGGCTGAGGTAGGAGCCTGCCTCTAAAGTTCAAGGCCAGCCTCAGCAACTTAGTGAGAGCCCCATCTCAAAATGGAAAAAAAAGGGGGGGGGCTGGGATAGCAATCCCTAGTACTTCCAAGGAAAAGGAAGAGAGAGAGAGAGAGAGAGAGAGAGAGAGAGAGAGAGAAGGAGAAGGAACATATAGAACTATATAACTACAATTTGCTCAGTTATTTTATAAACCTAAAACTGTAATAAAAAAATAGAACCTATTAATTATATTTTGGAGGAAAATGTCTATTAATGGCGACATAGGTGCCCTGACCTGCCTGTCTAGGGCCTCGGTTACACAGGTGTATAATGGAGGCACAATGACTGGCTGGGGGGCCCTGCAGGCTGCATCTCTGCTATGCCTACCCGTCCTACCACCTAGGGCACCTTCCTGCCCAAACCCCTGCCCTGGCACTCTGTGGGTTACTATCCTGTCCCAAAGCTCATGTCCCAGTCCTGGGCCCATACTCACCTGAGCAAGGTATGCTCTGTACAGGAAGACATCCCTTTCCACATCCCTCTCTGGATTTGTCAGCTGTAGGAACAGAGGCAGGTCAAGACAAAGAGGTCAAGGCACAGAACAGCCTGCACAGGGTCACAGGACTGATGGGCCCTTGAGGAAGGAGTGGGCAGCCGCCACAGAAGGGTCCAAGGTTTGAGTCCCAGCCTTAGACCTCAGTTGCCTGTGACCTACAGTGTCATGCAGGGTGCTGAGGGCATGCAGGGTGGAGAGTGCTTGATCTTGTTCCATCTCAATACCACCTTAGAAAGGAGGCTTGACTGTCACCCTTGTTGAACACAAGAGCAGTCCCTATTCTAAACACACAACAGGGAACCAAGGCAGAGACCATACTTCTGACCTCTTACTGCCTTGTTCCTGTTCTACTTTATTTGAAGACATTTCTTAAAAACAATAAACATATCTGCTACACTTAGATGACCTACCCTGTCCCCAGTGAGAAGATTTTTCTAAGAGGGCTTGGCTTGGATGCCCAGTGCAGGGATCTGCCTCCACTGGCCAGCAAGACCCTGGGGAGCACAGACCACGTGCCTCAGCTCAGCCACGGCATGCAGTCAGGAACAGGGTGTGAGGTGACTCTGGCAACATGCATTTCAGGACCATGAGGAAGCCCCATGAGCCCGGTCAGGCAGGGAGGCAGGGGATCCTTTTTCAAGAGAATAATTGTGGATGGGGCTTCTGAGTGCTGGCTGATTTCCTGGAAAGCCCTGTAGTGCCTGGAGCAGGAGGGCATAGTGCAGCTCAGCCCATGACTTGGGGACACTGGCACAGGCCACCTGGGGGCTGGGAGAAGTAAGTGCAGTGAAAGCAGATCTTGGTCCTGAAGTTACCAAGCCTACAAACAGCCTGCAAACCAGGGGGCCTGGGAACTACACTGTGAGCTGGTCTGTCAGCTGTCAGAACACAGGGACAAGGACCTGGCACCCCATCGGTGGGGGAATGCCAGGACTGCTCTGTCCTCCTGAAGCCAAGAACCCAAGAACCACAGATTCTAAGCTCCCTGGCCCTATTCCTTCTCCCCTGCCTGAGGGAGGCATGTGGACAGCAACTGTGTCCTTATTGCAGGACAGTGGAACCCTGACCCGGTCAGACTCGGGTCGGTGTCACCGAGAATCCTAGCAACTTCTGCTGAGGCCCTAGTGGCCAGGCTAGACAACTAACCATAATTTAGAATGTGGAGTCTACTAAATAAGTAGCTCTCAAATGACCCTCAGAAGCGGACACTACCAAGGACAACCAGCCTGGGGACAAACCAACTTCAGTAAGAAACAAAGAGATAAACATCAGCTCTTAGTAGCTTCGACATGAAGACATGGTGTGACACTATGAGATGGGATAATCCAAGATCAGAGGCCATCCTTTGGCCTCAGCCTCCCCATGTGCAAAACAGGTAGTGTGCCACCAGCCCTGCAGAACCATGAAGGCTCCCAAGAAGACCTCACAGTCATTAGTGTGGGAATAGGAAGAGATATGCAGACTCAGGACCATGAGTGATCAAGCTTCTAGAACCAAAGGATTGCGGTAGTTCTGGAACCTTCATAATCTTCCTCAACATTCATGTTTCACTGATCCCATGGAAACTGGAGGTGAAGCCTGCATCTCTCTGAGGTGGGAAAGTGAGAGCAGAAAGGAGTCAGCTTTGAATGAAGTGAGGTCAGGGCAAGATGTTTGCTGACACGCCCACCCCAGCATGAAGCCTGACGTGACCTAAATGCCCTGCAAATAAGAGGTATAATTAAATAAATCCCAATGAGTCCCTATTGTGGAAATATGATACATCAGGTAAAAGGAATGTGGCAGATGGACAGGCACAGACACGATCATTTGCTGCAGAGGAGCGGGAGCCAACTCTGGCCTGTTCCCTGTAAGAGATTCATTCACCTGCCCGTTACCTGGGGGATCCAAACCAATGGGCGGGGCCGGGCCAGCCAGAGCAAGGAAAGGAAAGCCAGTCATTGGAACTTGGGCAGAGCCCATGTTGCAAATCGTCAAGGAGATCCCAAGATACATGGAAACAGGATGGCCTTTCTGAACAAGTGCTTCTTGGGTACCTCTCACCTGGGGCTACCAGTGAGCCAGGGCTTATGCTTTACAGGGGCAGGTCCATGGTGCCACTCACCCCTGCACCTGAGGGAAATGGCCAGTCATACAAGCACAGTCCTAGCTACCAACCCAAGGCAGTCCAGGCTCACCACCATACCTGGCAGTCTGCCACCCAGCAGACTGTCACCTGCAAGCATCTGCTCTGTCTGAAGCTACCTCTGGGAACCTTCGGTTTGGGGTGTGAACTAGAGAGGCTCTGCTAAAAACAGACTGCAGACCTAGTGCTCTTCCTGCAAAGGCACAGGGTGAGTGATGTGGTCAGACAAACCCCCTGCCCCAAGGCCTGTCAGGTAGAAATGTTCTAGGAACTGGTGAACCTGCGCTGGGGGCTTGCCTGAAACCCAAGCTGAGCAACCATGACACCCTGAGGCTGCAGTCCCCCCTTGAGGCAGGCCCTCCCAGTAAACTGGAGTGCTAACACCTGAGGCTGAGTTGTCAGGAGGCTTGCCTGAGGGGGCACAGGAGGGTCTTAGTCCAGTCCCTGTACTTGGCAGCAGCAGGACCAGGAGTGAGACAGAAGAGCAGTCTCAGGCCCATTCTCACCCACTGACTGAGACCCCCCGGGAGGGCTCAGACAGCCTGGCTCAGGAGCACCGGGGACTCTGAGGCATCCCATCAGGTCAGCCCTCTGATCATCAACCCCAACTTCTCATTAGTCAGCTGGGAGCTTAGAAACCTACAAAGTCAGGAGGTCCCTGTCCACCAAGGACAACTCTGCCCCTGGGGTGGCTCACCTTGGCCCCTCCCATATGGCTCAGAGGTGCAGCCAGGGTTGAGGGATCAGGGTGCTATGTGGGGAGGCTCGTGATAGGGTGGGGGCTCTGCAGCCAGAAATCTCAAGGGATGGTGTCCCCTTTCATTGTCTGTGTGGCCCTGAGTCACCTGAACACAGTAGACCAGGAACTCCAAGGTTGGTTTGTGTGTACCTAGGTGGTGCCTGCCATCTTGTGGACACTTGATAAATGACTGACAGATGGGGAAATATCATGAAAGGTGATAAGTGCTACAATCAACAAGAGGGCAAAGACTTAACAGGTATTCTACCTGGGGTCACCTTAAGTGGCCTACTGGCCTACTTGAGATTGCTGGGGCCATTGTCTGGTGTCTGGGTGGCTTAAAACAATAACAATTTATTCTCTTACAGTTCTGGAGGCTAGAAGTCTAAAACCAAGTAGTCACAAGGTGGCGCTCTAGAGGAAAATCCTTTGCTCTCCCGCCCCCCTCCCCCCCACCTTACTTCTGGTGGCTTGTGACAGTCCTTGGCTTGTGGCTGTGTTGCGCCAATCTCTGTCTCAGTCTTTTCTGTCTCTAATTTCCCTTTTTTCTTATAGGAGGCCACTTGGTATTGGAATTAGGTTCCATCCTAAATCCTGGAGGATCTCACCTAGGGATCCCTTCAAGTAATTACATCCTCAAGGACCCTTTTTTCAAATAAGCCACATTTATGTGTTGCAGGTAGACATATCTTTGGGGGAACATGGTTCAACTCAGGACACATCTGACAGAGTTGAGGTGGCTTGTGGACCAGAATGAAATCACATCAAATGGCTTGAAGGGGAGAATACTCCCATTCATCTGGATGGATCAGGGAGAATATCTGTTTGGTGACCACACTGCTAAGGAGAGGGCATAGGTCTTGGGTTCAGCCAGAGTGTCCACCAGTCTGGTATCTGTCTACATCTACAGTCACTGTCTACATAAAGCAGATCACACTGGTTCTCAGAAGTTTCAGGGTTCTGAGCTGGAGTTGTGGCTCGGTGATAGAGAACCTACCTAGCATGTGTGAGGCCCTGGGTTCAATTCTCAACACCACGTAAATAAATAAATAAATACATAAGTACATAAATACAGGTATTGTGTCCATTTACAACAAAAATATATTTAAAAAAATTTCAGTGTTCTGACACAAGAAAATTCAAACAGAACAGAATTCTGGCAGAAGTTGGAAGGCAAAATGTGAGCATAATGCTCACTCTCACAACAACCCTACTGAGCTAGGTGTCATCATTCCTACTTGACAGAAGGGGAAACTGAGGCTCAGAGAGCTGCAGTGCCTGGAGTTGAAATCTTGAGCCTAGGTCTGGCTGGCTCTTCTTAGTTGGTAGTACCCAGAAGGGAGGCACACACAAGTTGTGGGTGATTGGAGGAAGTCTCCCACTGTCCCTGAGTCTAAGAATAGCTTCTATTATATGGAAAAGGGACTTCGCAGATGTGATTAAGGTTAAAGACCCTAAAATGAGGAGACTATGCTAGGTTATCTGGGTGGGCCCAGTCTAGTCACACAATCCTATAACAGAAAACAGAGGAGGAACAACAGGAGGGGAAATCCAAGAGATTGAGTTAAAAGGATTCAATGCCCCATGAATGGCTGTGATGGAGGGGCCATATGAGAAGCTGAGGACTGAAGAGAGGCTTCTAGGAGCTTAGGGTGGCCCCTAGCCAACAGGCGGTCGTCTGCTTGAATTGGAAGTGGATTCTTTCCCAGAATCTCCAGGAAGGAGACAGCCCTGGCAACAACCTGATTTTAGCCTGGTCAGAGCCTAGTTGTCTTCTGACCCCCACAAACTGTGAGATTAATAAATATGTTCTATCTTCAACAGCATTTGTGGCACAGTCACTTCTGCTATCCAACTGCAGACCAAAAATATTTTTTAAAAACTGCACCTGTATGAACCATATACAGACTTTTTTCCCTTTTCATTACTCCCTAAGTAATACAACAACTATTTCCATAGCATTTACAATGTAATTTCAATTGTAGGTCATCTAGAGATGATTGAAAGTCAGAGGAGAATATGCATAGATTCTATGGAAGCACTACACCATTTTATAAAAGGAACTTGAGCATTCTAAAATTTTGGTGTCTGTGGAGGCTAGGTGTCCTGAATCCACAATTCCCTGTGGATACTGAGGGATGATTATAATTTGTCACTATGGCAAAATAAAATACAACCATGCAAATGTTGCTTCAACAAACCCTAACAGCTTCCTGAAGTCAGTGTGAAGTTTTTTGCTTGTTTTGTTTTTGAGACAGAGTCTCACGTGTTGCCCAGGCTGATCTGAAACTCCTAGGCTCAAGTAATCCTTCTGCCCCAGCCTCCCAAGTGAATGGCGCTACAGGTGTGTACCACTGTGCTTGGCCTTTTCCAGGTTTTATCCCCAATCATACAGACAATGTTCAGGGTAATTGGATACATTGCCAGAGGCAGGGAACACAGAAATCCAGTCTTCTCTACTTCAGCGTCAAACTCCTCCCAACCTTTTGCATGTACTAGTAAAGACATTTACCTCTCAGAATCCAAACCCCTACAGGGCCCTGAAGGCCCTGTCCACCCCATTCTCTGTCTTCCCCCTCATTCATTCCATTTCTGCTACACTGGCTTATATATTTTTTATTTTTTATGTTGGAGGTTGAGTTCAAGGCCTCACACATAGCAATCATGCACTGAGATACCCCCGAGAGCCCCATTTTTTTTTTCTGTGCTGGGGATGAAACCCAGAGCCTCATACATGCTAGACAAGCACTCTACCACTGAACTATACAACCAGACATACTACAGTCAAAACATTAGGCTGTGATGTTATGTTCACTGCAGTTACACATTCTCCAACAGTTCACCTTCAAAGTGACAGTAACATCCACATCCCTCTTTAAAAGATCCTGCAAGAAACATTCCCTGCTGCTCATTCTCTTGTTACAATCCTTTCTGGCTGGGTTTGCCATCAAACACCCAAGCTCATTGCCAACATTCTCCATAACCATTCCATCGTTCACTGTCTCTGTTGCTATTGCTAGGCTTACGTTCCAATCGAGCTGGGAATTTTGTCTTTTTTGCCTCCCTCTGAATCCAGTAGGAATACAGTGCCTGATCCATGCAAATGCTCAAGGAGGAATGAATGAAAATTGAGAGAGCTTTGGGAGAAATAACCAGGCTGGACGGGTAGAGTAACATCGGGAAAGTCATTTCCCACTCTGAGAATTTGGTGTCGTCAAGTGTGAGATAAGCAAAACTCGCTCCTTCACGGGTAGTGAGGGTATAGCTCGACAAATCAGAAGGACTGTTAACTCCCCCTTACTCAGGTGCCTTCAAGGCGAAGAGAGCGCTCTAGGAGTGAGCAATAACACGCAAAGTTACTGCTTTGGGTTTTGTTGGCAAAACTGCTCCAGGCCACCAGGAAGCCGCCTCCACCTCTAGCGTCCCCCCGTCCCGGCACATCCGCACCTTCACCCGCTGTGCCTCGTTGATACACTGCTGGTAGCTGCCGATATAGAAGGCGTTCTTCACGTCGAACAACTCGTCCACTTCTCCAGAGCCGCCTGAGGCCGGGCCGGGGACCGGAGGTGCCATATCGGGGTCCTCTCACCCGCCTCACTTCCGGAGAGACACGTCGGCCGGAAGCAGGGCCCCGCAATGGGGCACCATGGGAAATGTGTCAGTTGAATGAGCCAATATAAGGCTCTTAAACGGAAGTAAGGGGGCGGGGGACGCAAGCGCTTCTCGCCAGGCATCTCGGGAGTTGTAGTTTCGTTTGATCCTGAGAGAGTCTGGGATTCCGGGAAACCTGATTAAGATGCGGTCGAGGCTGGGATTGGCCTAGTTAATAGGAGGGTGGAACCATGAAGGAAGCAGAACCAATAATGGGAAGGGATATTCTTGACGTCATATACGCCCGCCGGAAGTGCGGATCACACAGGCCATAAGGCTGGCAACTGGGATGGCCGGCTTCGCGGAGCTTGGGTTGTCATCGTGGCTCGTGGAACAATGTCGGCAGCTAGGTTTGAAGCAGCCCACTCCCGTGCAGCTCGGTTGTATTCCCGCCATTCTGGAGGGTAAGTGGCCCGGTAGCTTCCCTCGAAGTCGTCTCCTCTCTTTTCTCCACCTTTCTCTTCTTTGCCCAGGCAGGTCGCACGAAGCGAGGTGTTAGGATGAATCTGATTCCAGAGGCATGCTGGGCAGTGTTGACGTTTAGCGTGCTCCACCGACTCGCTGTGTACGCACACAAGTGATGTCGCTTCTGAAACTTTCTTAACCTAGCACGGGAAAGGCTGATGAACAACTGATTGTAATACTATGAAAATGTGGCAGAGGTGGCACTATTTTCACTTTGCAAGTGAAACTCCCTGGTCCTGTGACTACTCTTCTCGATCTTCTGACTCAAATTTTTTTTTTCTTTAGTTGTAGTTGGATACAGTACCTTCATTTTATTTATTTATTTTTATGTGGTGCTGAGGATGGCACCCAGCGCATTGCACATGCTAGGCGGGCGCTATTCCACAACCCCAGCCCTGTGACCTAACTTTTTTTTTTTTTTTTTTTTTTTTTTTTGAGACAGGGTCTCTCTGAGTTTCTTAGGGCCTCGCTAAGTTGCTGAGGCTGGCTTTGAACTCGTGATTCTCCTGCCTCAGCCTTCTGAGCCTCTGGGATTACAGGCGTGCGCTACCGCCAACTTAGTTTTTCCATTAAAGTGATATTCACAGGCTGCTGTTCACAGTGTCATATGTCTATAAACCCAGTCCCAATAACTGTAGAGTCCAAATCAAGAGGATTGCAAATTCAGTGCCAGCCAGGGGACCATAGACCCCCATCTCAAAAAAGGAGGGGGCTGGGATTGTAGCTCAGTGGTAGAGCACTTGCCTAGCACATGTGAGGCACTGTGTTAAATCCTAAGCACCACATAAAAAATAAAGTATTGTGTCCATCTACAACTAAAAATATTTTTTAAAGATAACTTGTTTTAAAAAAGGAGAGGGGGCTGGGGATGTGGCTCAAGCGGTAGCGCGCTTGCCTGGCATGCGTGCGGCCCGGGTTCGATCCTCAGCACCACATACAAACAAGGATGTTGTGTCCGCCGAGAACTAAAAAAAAATAAATATTAATAAATATTAAAAAAAAAAAAAAAAAGGAGAGGTCACAGGAAACCTAAGATGTGACAAATTGAGAGATTAAGTAAACAAATATAAATGAATCAATGGGGAATATAGGATGCAGTTCAAGGAGGGGAATTCTGGGCTTCTCAACCTCGGATACTTCAGAAAAGAGTCAGTTATGTGGTGGTCAGCAACATCTTCACCATCTTGGGCCAGTGGGATATAGGTTCCGGTTAAGCCTGCTACTTACCAGTTGTATGTCCTGGGTAAGGCTCTGAGATTCAGTTTCCTCTTCTATTAGATAGGGACAATAGCAGTCTCTCTTCGCTAAGATTTGTCAGTTGCCTAGTGGAAAAGGCATAGTGGGTGCAGAGAGACTGATCATTAAGTGTTAGCCATTGTTGGGGGGACTCAGTGGTAGAGCACTTGATTGGCATGCACAAGGCCCTGGGTTCAATCCCTAGCCCTGTTAAATAAATGACCAAACATACATTAGCCCTTCTGGACTATGCCAGATGTGCCCAAGGGACTAGCTGTGTTCACCTGGAGTGTGTTTATATTGCTTTGCCCTCTGTGCAGGTCGGGACTGCTTAGGTTGTGCCAAGACAGGAAGTGGCAAGACGGCAGCATTTGTCTTGCCCATCTTGCAGAAGCTGTCTGAGGATCCTTATGGCATTTTCTGCCTTGTCCTGACACCCACCAGGTGAGCCTCCCAACAAGCCCCTTGCATGTGAGTTAACCACCTGTGTTCTCTTGGACAAGTGCCTTTACTTCTCTGAGCTGCACTTTGCCCATGGGACAAAAATTATGAGTGCTACAGAATTCAACAGAACAGGTTTTATAAACCAGGAGTTTATGAAAAGTTCTCAGCATAGAGCTTGACCAGGGCAAGTACTGGCCAAATGGGAGCTGCCCGCAATCAATACAGCTAAATGAATAGAAAAGCATCCTAGGCAGAGGGCCCTGCATGCAGAAGTATGAGAGAAACAGGGAGCACAAAGGGTTCTAGGAGCTGGGCGTGTTAGAACCAGCTTGAGAAAGCCTTAAATGTTAAGCAGGGGGTTAGAATTGATTCTGAGGGTGTGTAAACAGGAATGAGCAAGGAAAGAGGCCAGGAAGTGGCCTTTTCTGCTCAGGAAAAGGCCTGAGCAGAGCAAGGGCTGGCAGACATAGGCCCTGAAGACTGACTGGCCCAGAGGAGAGGAGGCTACTGGTTGGGTCTCTGACTGGGCAACTGAGTAGTGTTGGCCAACATTACTGAGAAAAGGACACAGGAGAAGGTGTAAGTTTTGCGGAGGGGGAGATGCCAAAGCCATTTTAGGTTGGACTGGCAGGGGGATCATCATGGGATGTTCTGGGATGAGCCCACAACAGGCTCTAGTACTCAGCCTCAGAGCCTTTGTGTATAAACAGTAGAGGGAGAGACAGGAAGCCAGGGGCTCAGGGAGGAATTCTGGGGACGGTGTTGGGAATGAGAGGCACAGAACTGCCTGACCCAGTCTGGCCCCTTCCTGCCCACAGGGAGCTGGCCTACCAGATTGCAGAGCAGTTCCGGGTGCTGGGGAAGCCCCTGGGTCTGAAAGACTGCATCATCGTCGGTGGCATGGGTACTGGGGCTGGTGGGTTCTGGGCATGGGAGCCCCACAGCTACAGATCTTCTGCCCAGCCTCACCTATCACCCTCCACCCCCAGACATGGTGACCCAGGCACTGGAACTCTCTCGGAAACCACATGTGGTCATTGCCACTCCAGGACGCCTGGCTGACCACCTCCGCAGCTCTAACACCTTCCACATAAAGAAAATTCGCTTCTTGGTGAGCTGCCCCAGCTGTGCTCACTGATTTTGGATCCTCTGGGCATGGGATGGAGTCAGGAGCACTGTTCCATCTATCTGGGAAACGAGGGTCACATGGATCGTTTAGTAAAGTGCTAGAAATAGTGACGAGGCCACTCAGGGACCAAAAAGAGAGAAGCCAGTACTAGTGAGGATGAGGAGGGCAAGATCTGACTGAGGAGGTGCCCTCGTGCTGAGGCCTAGAGGAGAGAGCCTCAGAGCTTGTGTCCACACCTCGGGAGAGGCAGGCTGGGGAAGGACAGGAAGGACAGGCCTGGGGCCACAGCCAGCACCTGGACCCCATTTCCACCTCCTGCCCCACGGACACTGCAGGTGATGGACGAGGCAGACCGGCTGTTGGAGCAGGGCTGCACCGACTTCACGGTGGACCTGGAAACCATCCTGGCAGCCGTACCCGCCCGCAGGCAGACTCTGCTCTTCAGCGCCACGCTGACAGACACGCTCAAGGAGTTGCAAGGCCTCGCCACCAACCAGCCCTTCTTCTGGGAGGCACAGGCCTCGTGAGTCCGTGGCCACTGTTGGGCAGGCGAGGTTGGAGGCAGGCGGGCAGCAGCCCCATTGGACAGAAGGGGAAACTGGTGGCCTCTGTCCCCAGGGTGCGCACTGTGGAGCAGCTAGACCAGCGCTACCTGCTGGTGCCTGAGAAGGTCAAGGATGCATACCTGGTGCACCTGATCCAGACCTTCCAGGACGAGCATGAGGACTGGTCCATCATCATCTTCACCAACACATGCAAGTGAGTGTCGGGGCGAGGCCTGCCTCCCTGCCACAGCCCTTCCTTAGAGGTGGCCCAGAGTCACAGGCTTGGGGCACACAGCCAGGCTGGTCTCTCCCTGCCTTAGCTCAGACCGGAGGTTTTTTGGGAGAGGGGCTCAGCCCCATCTTGGATGGAAGGCTCAGGAAACCCTGCAGAGCTCTCAGCAGCCTAGTTGTTATGGCCGAGAGTGTCACTAGGCTTCCAGACCCTCTGATGGGAAGCTGTGACAGTTAACTGAGGCCTACCTAATGTGCCGGCATAGTCTCTTATGGGCACTTCACACTGGCTCCTCCTTTGAGCTATTTGGAGCATGATCAAGAGGCTGTGGGCTATTCCAGCGTGGGCTAGAAGAACAGGACTCAGAACAGTCCAGATGAACTGGCTCCCAAGAGAAAAGTTTGGATACAGAGTGACCGTTGGGCACAGCAGTACCCAGCAGCTCACGGGATGAGATCACTTTCTGTGAGGTCGGCAAGTGCTAGAGACTGAGCTCAGGCCCCCGTGGATAAGCATGGGCACCACCTCTGAGCTACACCAGCCCAGACACCAGTGGTTTCTTTCCATCCATCTTTTAGCTGTTACCCTCTATCAGCTCCCCTTGGGGAGTCTATGCCCTTCTGTGACAGTGGCTCAGTTTCTAGTTTCCCAGCCCTTGTGGTCCTTACCGAAAGAACAGGAGTCCGCTTGTTCAGAAATGAGCAGCAGTCCCAGGGCACAGTGTGTGTGTGCGTGTGTGCAGTCCGAGGTATGGACTCTGCCGTGAGCCGCACCCCTAACTCTCCAGGCCAGTTATCACTTCAGGCCCAGGGAAGGGTCAGCAGAGAGTCTGGCAGGCAGGCGGGATCTCTAGGCCCCTGTATTTTTTCTCATTTCTGAGTGGCACAGGGTTACCTTGCTTGGTGTCTCTGGGTGGGTTG